TTTAGCTTAATAAACAAAACATTTTCCAAGGGTTCCGATAAAACACACTATATGGCTCTGTAAACACGCAGAGATGCAGCCAGCCAGTCAGAAAGCAACTGTTTGGGCGGAGCATCTCAAGCTGAGAGTACTTGCACTGATGGGTGGAGCCAAAAATGGATGCAATGCTGACAACATATTAACATAAGTGAGATATTAATTAAGTTAGTGTTTTAGCCACGCCCTCCATCACAGTTTTTTTAGAAAAGCCTTTTTATAAATTTCTATATAATTCTATGATAATTATAAATAATTATATTTTAATAAATGTTATTTTTCTAAACATCATGCTTTTATTATTGTATTGAGTTTGTCTTTGAAATGTTATTGCTTTTTGAAAAATATTTGCCCATTTTGAATTTGATGTAAACACACCCACCCCCCCCCCACAACAACACTGTGTTTCATCACCTCTTCTTTTAACAGCACTCTGTAAGTGTTTGTGAACTGAGGAGACTCTGCTGTAGTTTAGAAAGTGAAATGTTTTCCTGTTCTTGTTTGATACAGGATTTCAGCTGCTCATCAGTTCAGGGTCTCCTTTGTCATATTTTTCATTTCATAATGTGCCAAATGTTATCAGTGGTGACAGGTCTGGACTGCAGGCAGGTCAGTTTAGTGCCCTGACTCTTTTAATATGGAGCCATGCTGTTGTAATACATGCAGAATGTGGTTTTACATTGTCTGAATAATCAAGGTCTTCCCTGAAAAAGACGTCGTCTGGATGGCAGCATATGTTGCAAATACTGGTTCTTGGCCTCGTCCCTTATATACAGAGATTTCTCCAGATTCTCTGAATCTTTTAATGATATTATGTACCGTAGATGATGAAAAGCAGAAGTTCTTTGCTATTTTACATTAAGAAACGTTTTTCTTGAATTGTTGCACTATTTGATGGTGCAGTCTTTCACAGAGTGGTGAACCCCTCCTCATCTTTACTTCTGAAAGACTCCGCCTCTCTGAGATGCCCTTTATACCCAATCATGTTACTGACCTCTTGCCAATCAACCACCAGGTGTTTTTTAGCATTACACAACTTTACCAGCCTTTTGTTGCTTTTTTGGAATGTGTTGTTGGAATTAAATTCAAAATGGGCAAATATTTTTCAAAAAACAATAAAATTTCTTAGTTTCAATATTCAATATATTGTCTTTGTACTATTATTAATTAAATATGCAGTTTAAATCATTTGCAAATCATTGTATTTTCTTTTTATTTACATTTTTCACAGCATCCCAACTTTTTTTGGAAATGGGGTTGTAAATAAAATGCATTATTATTATTATTATCAATGAGATTTTGACTTTAGTGATATATTAACATGGCAGGGCTGCATCTCAGAAATTCAAAGCCCTAATTTTTGGACTGCACTCCAGTCAGCGTAACAGCTGTATCTGTGCTGAGGCGGCTCTTCAGCTGCTGAACTGTTTATTGTCACAGTCAGGATTGGCAACCAACCTGACAATTACAATCCACTGGAAAGTGCAGGCCGGCTCTAAAGACGAGCATGCGGAACACACGAAACACGCAGTTGTGGTAGAGTTTATAAACCGAAAACCTCGCAGGGGCCCATTTCACCATTTCTCCATTTCTGCTGACACCACTCTTCTAAATATGGCCTTCAGAAGCTCAATGTGTTAAAGAGATTATCACCACAGCTTTAATCTCAGCTCAGAGCTCAGCGCCACACAGAGGAGGACAGGAACACGGTACTTAAAGAGTTTAGGGTCTTATTAGCGCATTAGAGCTCCACTTTATCCAATTAAGCCTTCAATTAAAAGCAACATTTAAGCCAAAGAAGGAAATTCTGGTCTCTGGAGTTTGTGAAGTTGTGAATTTGTAGTTTTACTTTATTAATACATGCAAATTGGCAAAACCTTTAAACCAAGCAGCTAAATTTAAAAAACGGGTAGTGTATACAGAAATCAAACAACCTAACTTTAAAAGCAATCGGCTAGAATTTAAATAATATCAGCATATATGCAAATCAATCAGTTAACTTTAAAATCAATTAAATATACTTCAAAAAAGCAACATAAATGCATATTAATTGGCTTAACCTAAAATAAATCATCAAAATTTTAAAATCAAAGAGTTAAGTTTAAAATCAATGAGCTTAACTTTAAAATTAATCATTTAACTTTAAAAACAATTCATTAACTTTGAAAATGTATCAGCTAACTTTAAAAATTAGCAACATATATGCAAATCAATTAGCTTAACTTTAACATCAATGAGCTAAACTAAATCAATGGGTTGATTTTAAGAATTAACAATCTGCAAATATATCGGCTTAACTGCTGAACTTTAATCAGCTGAACTTTAGTCAGTTAGCTTTAAAATCAATCAGTTAAGGTTAAAAATTAGCAACACGTGAAGCAATGAGATAAACTTTAAAATCAATCAGTTTAACTTTAAATCAATCAGCTGAAGTTTAAAATCAATGAGCTAAACTTTAAAATCAATAAGTTTATTTTAAGAATTAACAATCTATGTGCAAATAAATCAGCTTAACTTTAAAATCCATCAGGTAAACATCAAAATCAATGAGCGGAACTTTAAAATTAAACAGTTTTGAAAAGTTTGAAAATAAGCAACACACATGCAAATCAATGAGCTACACTCTGAGCTGAATGAGCTGAAGGAGCTGAATGAGTGGAGGCGTCTGTGCTGGGTGAGCTGTGAGAATGCAGGGTGGGAATAAAAGCTCTTAGAGGAGCTGCAGGAATGAGAGGGAGGATAATATGACCTACATATGGTGTGTTAAACACAGTGGAGAGGTTTTCCATCAGCGCCCCTCGCTGGGCTCCGGTGGTGCCCGGGACAGTGTGGAGAAATGGTGCTCAGAGCTGAGCTGAGCTGAGGGAGGACTGAGTGTTGGCCTGGGCACTCAGACGGGCACAACTGGGCACAACCTCACCCTCCAAACTTTAATAACACAGTGGAGACACTGCATTACCTACATACTTAAAATAAGACAGGGCATTAAAGCTGCACTTAAAGGGCCCAAACCCTGCGTTTTTATCTTAATTCGTCCCTCAGACGTCTGTGCGGCTTTACATTCCAGAAATAGTTGTAATACATGATCATTTTCAGCCTCTCTTTATCCCCCACAATTAAGCAGCCTGTGTTTGTTACTGTGCCTTTAAGGCTGATTTATGTAAATGAGCTCTGTTCTGATTGGCTGTCCTGTATTGTGCCTCATTCAAAAAGCAGACTCAGCTGAAACACTCCTTATAACTTCAGCATGAATGCGAGGGGCTAAGCTGCTCTAGCTTTAATGAGCGGATATATATAATGTGTTGGTTTTTGTGACATCACAAAAACAGTGAATTCAAAACTGGCTGTTCTTGCAGTTTAGTTTCCATATATGGGCTGTATGGACTGGGGAGTCAATAGTACATTTTAAAACTAATTTAAAGTAATTTAAAAAAGGATTTACATGATTGACCCTTTAAAGGAAGATGATTCTATACATATATATACATATTTATAGGAAGATAGGAAGTTTTTTTTAATAAATCCAACTGTGATTAAAATACTACTGGAGTCTCCTTAGATGGCAGAATATGTGACCTTTTATTCAGTCCTATGAATAAACAACTAATAAAGTTTTTAAAATAAAGTTATAAAAGTTTTAAAGTTGCACACAATTAAAAATACCACAATACAGAGTTTTACAGCTGTAATATTACAGCACAGCTCACCCACCCCCCTCTCTCTCTTACTCACTTACTCTCTCATTCTCTCTCTCACTCACTCACACACTCACTCACTCTCTCTCTCACTCACTCACTCACTCTCTCACTCACACACTCACTCACACACACACACTCATACAGCACATCTGTCTAATAAAGGAGAAAGAGAGAAAGAGAGCAGAGAGAGAGAAATAGAGATAGAGAGAAACAGAGACAGTGAAAGAGAGAGAGAGAGAGAGAGAGAGAAGGGAGAAGGGAGGGAGAGAGTAAAATAGAAAGAGAGAGAGAGAGAGAGAGAGAGAGAGTAAGAAAGAAAGAAAGAAAGAGAGAGAGAGAGAGAGAGAGAGGCAGAAAGGGAGAGATAGAGTAAAATAGAGAGAGTAAGAGAGAGAGAGACAGAGAGAAAGGGAGAGATAGAGAGTAAAATAGAGAGAAAGAGAGTAAGAGAGAGAGAGAAGGGAGGGAGAGAGTAAAATAGAAAGATAGAGTAAGAGAGTGTGTGTGTGTGTGTGAGAGAGAGAGAGAGAGAGAGAGAGAGAGAGAGAGAGAGAGTTGTATTAAAGTATCTGTAATAGTAGATGTCAGGTGATGGTTTGATCAGATATCAGATCTTGGATCATAAACACGTCATCACAGATCAGTGTGTGTAAAAGTTACTTATCTTTTACTTTGTCCTGATCTTTTATTGATCTTATTGATCATTTATTGATATTTTATTGATCTTGTTATTTTAACTGTTTTTACTGTTTAACACTTTACATCTGTATTCTAATACAGATGTTAAGCAAACCACATACAACACATACATACACAACCATCATCATCATCATCATCATCATCATCGTCATCATCATTCATCTCTCTCTCACCCCCCCACCCCCACCCCCACTCTCTTTCTCCCCATTTTCTTCTCTCACTCTCTCTCTCCCTCTCAATTATATTTAAATTATGTTCAATTTGGTTTATATGGTAAATTTATATCCGTATTGTTAAAGTTTTGCCACAATCAGCTATAATACATACATACATACATACATACATACATACATACAACATTATAGAAAATCATCTCTCTAACGCTTCATATCACTTTCTCCATCTTCTGCTTCTTTATCTCTCTTCCCTCTCTCTCTCTCTCTCTCTCTCTCTCTCTCTCTCTCTCTTCCCTCTCTCTCTCTCTCTCTCTCTCTCTCTTCCCTCTCTCTCTCTCTCCTCTCTCTCTCTCTCTCTCTCTCTCTCTCTCTCTCTCTCTCGCTCTCTCACCTGCCCATGCTCCTGAGGCCTGCTGCTGTAGGAGGATGAGTGTGGTGATGAAGGTCGGTGCGGTGAAGCTCCACAGGTTCTTCCACCTCCACTTGCATCTCCATCTCTGCTGATCCATGATCCGGTCGCTCTCCAAACACGTTCCGAACACACTCCGAACTCCAAACACACACACACACACACCCACCCACACACTCACACTCTCCGCTCACTCTCACACTGCCATCCGGCACAAACCCCCCAAAAAAGTGCTGCGCCTCTCTCTTCTGGAGCTGAGCGGTTCCGCTGCTCCTCCGGAGTCAGAAGGTGTGAGTGAGGCAGGGCTGGAGGAGAGAACCTGAGCCCTGAGTGAAGGAACCGACTGGAGGGAAAAGCTCCACTCCTCTCCAGCAAATCATCAGCCTGGAAAAGCTCAGGATCCGCCCATCATCCTGAGGAGAAGTTCAGAGAGAGAGTTCAGAGGCTCAGAGGGAGCAGCTGAGGAACACCACACAGAACAGTAACGTATTTAAATATATTAAAGTATGTTTTATTTATACTTCAGAGCATACTAACACTATAATATTACTCACTCTGAAAACATTTTAAGGATTTTATACAGTTATTCAAACTTTTTCTAGATATTTTGATGGGTTTATGATTTATTTTTTTTTAAAAAAGCCAGTGGAACGAGAACTTATCTACATAAAATGACTTAAAATGAGCACAGATATCCAGAAGTGGGTTGAATAACTGTATAATATTATTATCATGTTCTCATAATGAGAAATTATAAAAATATTCCAGTAAAAATAATTAAATATGTTTAGGAGTAGGTTGAATAATCTTATCAAGACATTGTACAGTGTAAGACTGCACTCTTAAAAAAAGATGGTCCTTCAAGGGTTCTTTAGCAAAGACAGTGGTTCTACATAGAACCATGAACACTCAAAGAAACATTTTAATGCTTATATGGTGAAGTGGTTCTTCAGATTGATGGGGAATGTGCTGTATATGGTTCTATACATCACCAAAAAGGGTTCTTCTATTATTACAAGCTTGACATCGCAACCCTTTTCCGGTGGTATACAGAACTCTTTTCAAAAAGGTTCTATATAGAACCTTATACTACACATTCTCTATCAGTCTGAAGGACCATTTCATGATTTAAGCATGCGATTGGTTGTTTGAGTGTCCATGGTTCTATCCACTGTCTTTACTAAAGAACCCTTGAAGAACCCTCTTTTTAAAGAGTGTATAACTCCAAAGTATGAAGCAGTTTTATTTATTTTCTCCAATTTTTGTTGGTATTTAAATGTTTATTTTTGAGCAAAAATTAATACAGTTTAGTTTTATTCACATAACACTTTCCACGAACTTTCTTCATTTTTTTTCGAAATATTTTTAATATTTTGTTTTCTTTTTCTTCTCCCAAACAGCTGCAAGAAGCTACTTGACAGATGGAAATTCATTCAATACAGTAAAAATCACTCAGTGTTCAATGTCAATGTCTGCACACTAGATGTCACTGTTGTTTTGTTTGCCTAGAAGTGACCACGCCCCCAACAACAACGAGACTCCGCCCCCAAACAACATGTCCACTCCTCTAATTATATGCAGCCACGCCCCCCCCCCACTACAACATAATTTAAGCCCTTAAGGTCAGTTAATGAATGAATGTGCAACAGACTGTTGGCTTATTGGCTTATTATTTTATTCCTGTACTGATTTCCATGATTTTCAACCAGATTGCAAAAATCAAAGCCTCTGAAACTCAAACCGTTTCTGACAGTTTGGATAATCTCCCTATTGATCTCCCAGCTTGATATGACTTTCAGAGCATTTGGGATCTGCCGGGTTCCGCCAAGGCTCTGACTGCCTACAGTATTTGAGATATTTCTTGAAGGCATGGGAAATAAAAGAGTAGCCAGAGCGATAGACAGCACGACCACGAAGAAGCTGGCTGAAGAACAGAGCTGACATTTCATGGCCAAGCAGAAATTCTTTCCAGACACACGCAGGCCCTCGAACGCTCTCCGCCCTTTCGGAAAGCTCCGCAGCCGCGATCTGAAAAGCATTAGTGCTGAGGAGATCACTGGAACCCTCTGTGGAAGCGCAGGTGGGAGCGATAGAACCCATCGGCCAGTTCTCCTCCCTTCAGGATTTGGGTTTTGATATTATAATGGCAGTAATTGACACACAAATTGGAAACACATTGGCTGTTGTTTACATGTACAAACCCACAGCTCAGGACTGGGATCACGGAACCGATCCAGGCAGTAGACCAGGAACATTTACACAAATATACTGGAACCATCCGTCATTTTGCCTGCATATTCTAAAAGAACACCCCTACAAAACCTTCTTCGTTATGCCATGCTATAAAAGAACCAACATTAGTCCACATTCCATAGATGGTTCTTTAGAGAACCATTTTTGTAGGACCTCTAAAAGGTTTGAAAGCTTTTACATTCTTTAAAATTTAAAAATAGTTCTTTGTATTTCATCTGATTTACAAAAATGCTTATCTAAAGAACCATTCACTGAAAGGTTCTTTACACAACCAAAGGTGATTCTTCATGCAAAGAACTCTTTTAGGTCCGTACACTGCAAAAACAGTCCCTTAAAAAGTGGTAAAGAACTGAAAGGTTCTTTATGGAACCAAAAGTAGTTTTTGGCCCCAACCGTGAAATACACCTGCCAAGAGACCATTTCTGCAGTGTAGGGGACATTTGTTCCATGAAGGACCTCTCAGTGAGTGGTTCTTTAGAGAAGCATCGTTGTAAATTTTTGCAGTGTCAAGCACGTAGAAATGGAACTGGAGCTAGAACCGTAAGTTGTTGCTTTTCATTTGTGTCATTTCCTCTCGCTTTAGAAAAAACACTGCAAAAAGGGTCTCTTAGCAAGTAAAATTATCTTAAACCTAGTTGATATATCTAATATTTCTCACGCTGAGATTGTTTATATAACTAATTTCTACATATTTTACTTGTTTTAAGTGATTTTAGTAAGTTAAATTGTCTCCCTATATTGGCAGATAATTTTACTTGCTGTAAAAATTGTGCTTAAAACAGGCAAAATTATCAGCCAATATATAATAGGATCATTTTTTCATGAAAAATGACTCAATGAAATTATTTTTAACAAGTAAAATTACTAGAAATAAGTTAAATAATCGTAAAATAGGCCCACAACAATCTCAACACGGGAAATATTTGATACATCAACTAGATTTACGATCATTTTACTTGCTAAGAGACCATTTTTGTAGAGTTTTTTCTAAAGAGAGAGGAAATGACACAAATGAGAAACAACGACTCACGGTTCTGGCTCTAGTACCTCTTCTACTTGCTTGACAGACAGCTGGAACGTTGTAATAACAGTTATGAACAACTTAATGGTCTTTTGGGTCATTTTAAGTCACTGTAAAGCAGTGCGCTAATTCGGCTAAGTAGCTATCTTGCTTGCTGGTTAGCTTAGCTTATTAGCTGATATGAAACAATGCACTCACACTCACTCAGTGTCTACAGTCACACAGAGTTATGCACAGAGTCAAGCAAAGTTTGTGTTTTGCGTGTTCTGAGTGTGAAAATATGAGCAAAAATAATCGTTCTGTGCAGAAATGCTAAAGACGTTATTATAAGCTTACCTTAGCAAACATTAATCAACATCGCATCAACGCATTGTCCTAAACACTTAAAAAGATGGCTCTTTAGTAAAAGCGATTGTTGTGAGTCATATCTTGAACCATTTGCTTGCTTAAATGGTTCTCTGCATGGTGAAATGGTTCTTCAGATTGATGGAGAAAGTGTTGTATAGGGTTCTATACAGCACCAAAAAGGATTCTTCTATTGTTATCATGTCAAGCCTTTTTGGTGTTATATAGAACCTCTTTCAAAAAGGTTCTGTACAAAACACTCAGCATCAATCTGAAGAACCCATAAACAATGCAAAGAACCCTTTAATCACACAAAAGGGTTCTTTGAGTGTTCATGGTTCTATTTACTAAATAACCCTTGAAGAACCATCTTTTTTTTAAAGGCCAGCTTATGTTCTGGTGCTCTTAATGGTGATGTAATATGTGGTGACTTTAGTAAAGATAATGATTCTATACAGAACCATCAACACTCAAAGAACCATTTGCATGGTGAAACCGTTCTTCAGATTGATGGAAAATGTGCTGTGTATGGTTCTATATAGCACCAAAATGGGTTCCGCTGTTGTACCAAGCTTGACATCGTAACAATAATAGAACTTTTTTGGTGCTACGTAGAACCCTTTTCAATAAGTCTTCATATAGAACCATCTACAACACATTCTTCATGAATCTGAAGAACGTTTTTTACCATGCAAAGACCATTTGGTCGAAATCCAAATGGTTCTTTGAATGTTCATGGTTCTGTGTAGAACCATTGTTATTACTGAAGAACCCTTGAAGAACTGTCTAAAAGTGTAAGGTATAAAGAGAGGCTGGAAAATGATCATGTAAAAATGCTTTTAGTACATAAAGCCACGTAAGTGATATAAGTGGAGCTCGGAGGAAAACAGAAAAATTCAAAATACGGGCCCTTTAATGAGAAGCAGTGAGTGCCTGATTATGAATTTATAGAACAAAAACAAACCTAAAGCACTCAGCAGTTATTATCTCTGGATTAGATATAAAAATGAGGAGTCACTGCAGATGTGGAGCAGCTCTCAGTGAAAGCCCTCCAAAAAGAATGAATTCCAGACGCAACCTTAACACTTTTACTGCCAGAGTCCACCGATCACGTCAAACAGGCTGTGGACAGTTTTATAAACAGACTGATTAGTTTCATATTGTTTAGTCACTGTTCCAGATGACCTCAGCACTGCCCACACGCAAACTGACCCAATCAATAATAACACTGAAGCAGCGTGACGAGCCAAAATCTGGAAGCTTGAAAACTGAAGACACAGATAATATTTGGATGAACTTACCCTTTCAGAGTAAATCACAGATTTTGAGAGAAACTCTTTTTGCTCGGTGTGATTTTTCATGCTGAGGAAATAAACTTTAATTTGTTGATTTCTGAACAGCTTTTAAAAACGTCTAATAACGACACAGGAACTGATTTGGACTTTTACATGATAAACATGTAGCTCCTTATTCACCACAGTTGCACATGGTTCAATCTGACTGTAAACAGACGGTCAGTCTTGTTATTCATTCATTTCATTTTTGGCGTCAGAATGTGTGTAAATTTGAGTGTAACATTTTAAGAAGCTTGGTTTGTAGTTAAATAATCAAAATTAATATCAGTATCATCAGTAATAAGAGTGACAACACTAAAGCGTTTGGGAAATGGAGACTGAAACTGGGGCGCGGTGACGCTCTGATAAACAGCAGGGGGCGCTCTCACAGTATTCACACCTTACAGTTTA